GTGGGCGTGTCTGATACAGTATCACTCCAGTGTGGCATGTCTGATACAGTATCACTCCAGTGTGGGCATGTCTGATACAATATCACTCCAGTGTGGACGTGCCTGATACAATATCACTCTCATTGTGGGCATCTCTGGTACAGTTAGTTCTATGACAGTTATAGATAGTAGTTAGTTGACAGTCAGAAATAATTGATGAGGAGAGTTTGTTTAATGTCATATACTGTATGCTAAAGTTGTACACCTGAAGTCGGGTATCCAGGATTGACTGAAGAAACAAGTCAAATCAAAGTATAAATCGGATCAATTAAATCAGCATTTGACACTGGAGATGAAAATATTTCAGCAGATTCAGTGTTCCTCCAGGACCCCAGATAGGAACCGCTGCTCCGCAGTTTAATACTTAACACATTTTGGAAAAATCGAAATAGGTCTCTACGGAATGTAAGTAATGCTGTCAGTAGCCTCATCCATTGTCACCAATCGTGTTTAAAAACAGGTCAGAGCAAATTATCATCACTTCACTCCAGTCCTGGGAAACAGACAGTGTGACTGCAAAGGGTGAGCCCTCTGGATTACACGATGAGAAACGCAGCCTGGCTAATCAGCTCAAATGAGAGAGGCAAATGCCAAGAAATGCTCACCAACATAAGAATAAATAAACAAAATCTGATCTGTCTGGCTTTATCTAATCCCCAAGGTGCTTCTACAAATCGGTGGCACTTTATTGAAATGAAACATCAGATTCAGATTCAAAGACAACCTATATATGAAGCTGAACTCTCAATATTATGTGAGTTTAATCACCAGTGTTGACCTTCAATCACTTTTTTCCCGATTGCACAACTTATTCATTCATGAAATAACCAGCAAGATGGGTCTTGGAAGTTTACCTGTCAATCCTGCAGTTTGCTATCACACAATGTGCACGATTTTTGTCCTTTGCCTAGGAACTAAAAATGGATGCTGGAGATAAAAATATAAAACTATGGGATATCATCCAATTTCTCTAGAGTACAGTACATTCCACAAGCATTTGTCAGTTTGCTGTGGCATAGTGTTCTCTTGTGTCAGATGTCTGATCACAGCCTGGTGCCTTCGTTTGTTTAAATATACCAGCCTATATAGCTGGCCTGAAAAACAAATGCCTGCAAGGGACTAAGCAATCTAGACCACAGATCTGCCAGTGTGAGATCCCAAACGTGGGTCTAGTGGTTCCTGCCTGTAGTGGCTGTTTACTCTCAGATGGGGTTCATGTCACAATGCGTAGTTTAGGACCCTGTGCAGACGGTATAATCCGGAAGTCACTGGAACAAGACTTCTAGGGAATCGCAGCAGGAGCAGGGTGGGAAGACAGACAGGAGGGCGTGGCCCGGGCGAACAGGAATCCAAAAGGGAAAAACAGGGCACAATCCAAAGTCCAGGTAGCCGGGAGGACAAAACGGGGAGCAGATGCTTGAAATCAACTAAAACACGAAAGGGCAGGAGAGCCCTTAAGAGGAGGGATTACGATCGTGACAGTTCATGTAAGGATCATCTAAATATTGTACAGTGTAAAGCAAGAAGGAAGTCCAGCTGTACCAAAAGACAGTTTGTTTCTTTAAAAAGAAACAGCCTGTTTTTTTTTTTTAAGGAACAGCCATGAGAAGCATATTGGCAGTCGCTCGGCTCAGGACAGATTGTTACTCTGCGCTGGCCAAGTGCCGTAAAACTGCCAACCAGCACTAGGTGGGCATGACTGATTCTGACCTGAATAAGAGAATTTCTGCAAAGACATCACTTTAACACTGCCAGTACCTCCTCCAGGCTTTCGCCAACACAGGACAAATGTCTCGTGCACAAGAATCTTCAGCTTGATGACAGGATTGCTGACGGATAGTGACAAAGGACAGAGGGCTCTAAAATTTCGACTTACACTGTGAGTCTGATGACGGGCCCTGTGACGCTGTTACAGTGCTTCTGGGAGTTTTATATGGCCGATACTGTGATGTTACACATGGCCCCCTGATTTCTGAAAGGCTTCCGAGACAGGAAATTTGAACTCAAGCCTTCGAGGAAGTGGTGACGTGCTCCATTTTTACTCAGCCAGTTCTGACAGCGATGGATGCAGAATTCTAATCTGTTTTCCTGTACCACTGCAAAATACCACATAGCAAATTTTATTTTCATTTCGAAAAATGAAAATATAAAGTTCCAAATGAAAGAAAGGATTCCAAGCTCTTTGTCTCAGCAAATGCTTACCTGATAAAACCCATGGCTGACCTGTCTCTGTCCTGTCCCTAGTTTCCGGTCTGCTGTCCTTCCTGTCCCTCTCTTTCCCTTGGGCTATATATTTCCGGGTCTTGCACTCTGTCCTTGCTCAGCATTGACGTTCGGGTGTCCTGAGACCCGCCTAGCACCAGGGCGCCCCACGTCCGCTCCCTGAGGGCATTGGTTTCTATACGGCATTCCTGAACTCTTCGCACTAATGAGCCCGGGCCTTTTTCCCGTCTCGCCGCTACGCATATAGGTCTTTTTCCGCTCTCCTGCTCCCCACGGTTAATCCCTTTGGACGTCCGTGACACTTAGGGTCTCTTTAAGCAAATGACTGTATCTGCTGCTCAGACTGCGATGAGCTTGCAAAACCAAGGGTTCAATAACGTGCCTGCTTTTTGCTGGCATGTTCCTGATACTAATTAAGCCTCAGATGTGCTAGGTCTGTGTCAACCACATCACACAAGATACCACTCCTAACATGCTGGTAGGAGGAAGGCTATAGACACCAAGTTATCTTTTTCAGCAAATGTGTGGAGTGTGCTGTACTGTATTTTGTAGCTTCCTTGTGTCTGCACTGTATTTAGTTTGACCCTGTATTTAAACCGCAGTTCTCTGAGAGCCCGAGCTGCTTTGCTCAAACAAGTATCAAACACAGCAAGGGGAAAAGCTGGTCCTCAAACACACAAGCCTCAAACGCAAACGAGAGCTGAAGGAAGTGATATCACCATGATTACCTCGTTATACTCATTCTGCCATATATCGGTAAGCCAATGAATCAATGTGGGTGAAGAAATGCTCATGGTACTGTACATTTCAGTACACTCCGGCAACTATGTCACCGCCTCGACTATAAATAGCTCTGAGCTGTTGTTTTCTGGCACCCATCAGTTTGAACACAGCACACAGCCCCTGAGATCAGGGGAAAGGGCTGATTATTCAGCTGGGCTGTGACACCACAGTGACAGTTTCTCAAAGACTCCCAGCTGTTTCCTCCATCTCGCTGCGCTTTCTGTGTTGGAGTCAAGAGCGGCGAAAAGTGTCATGTTTGTTAGCGCCGAGAGCTGTAAGCACACAAAGCAAATGAACTGACCTAGTAAATTTCAGCGCTTTGCTGGGTCTCTCCGTTATCTTTCTAGACTCAGCATCTAGCCTGCTTCCCTGCTCGGTATGCAGCTGCTTCACAGATTTGTGTAAATAAAAATCACCCATCCTTAAGCCATTTACCTTCTGCGCTACTGCTTATAGCTGATGTTAATGCAGACATCTAGAGCACAGGGATATACAGTAAGAAAGGTCACAGATGAGAGAAGATTTGACCCATCTTGCCCATTTGGCTACTAATAGAGAGTTTATCCACAGACCTCACCAGGTGCGGATTCCAATGAATACAAATGAATCGGTTATTTAGATTGTTCATTCCAGAGGTCAAGAGCTTTGTGGAATGTATTGCCTTCGATTTTCGGTAGTAAATACTCCGTCAAATAAATGCTTGTGTACCGGTTCTTGGGGTCTCCGCCCTTGCCGCTCCTGCCCTGCCAGTTTGTCCCTCACTGCCTGGGCGCGAACCCAGGTCTCTGGAGTCATGCAAGAGGGAACTTGCCGGCTAAGCTAAAGGAGACCTCCCTCAGCCCGGGCAGCTGAGATCCCTGTTATACACAGGGGTATATTTGTTACGTTTTGTGTCCTTTTGGTCCCCATCTCCCAGTTCAAACTGAGGAACATTCACAGACATTAGGAACTCTCTTGCCGAGTGTGTTGGCCCTTTGCAGGTGGTAGAACAGCTTGAACAGCACACGGACAGGTATTCCGTAGGGTTTGGAAATACTCGCAGCCCTTTCCAATCTCGATCTCAGTATCGACTTCAGTCGAGTTGGTATAAGGGTAGTGATGTGCGGGATCTAACTGCATATTCCAGTTTTCCGATAGGACTGAGATCTGGGAAGCTACCCATGCATTGAGTGCCATGGATGCTGTCTAGTGGACTAGGGGTTCCTACTATTTTGGCCTGTGACTGCAGTTGTTCTGGTTCTCTTTGTCAGTTCCTTGTAAGATTTCAAACTCCTGAAACAAAATCGAATTAAGTCTTCTTGTTCCTGTTCTTGTTCCTTCTTGTGCCAGTGTGTTAAAGGCATGCTGCACACATGGGACCTGTGTGCTGAAGGTGTTGCCCACATCTATATGTTGTCTACATGTTGCTCATGTGTTCCCTTGGTATTTCCCACATGTGGCCCATGAGTTGCTCATGTGTTGTCCATGCGTTGCTCATGTGTTGCCTATGTGTTGCCTACATGTGGCCCATAAGTTTCCCATAAGTTTCCCATGTGTTGCTTACATGTTGCCTATGACTTGCCCAAATGTTGCTCATGTGTTCCAGGCACGGGAGCTGGAGGGCAGCCGTCAGTACGAGGAGACGAGTGAATCGGTGTTCAGTGAGGCCGACTCCCAAGCAGTGGAGGCGTTGGACCTGCCCCTGCCCACCTGCTTTCGATCGCGGAGCCACAGCTACCTGCGCGCCATCCAGGCCGGCTGCTCGCAGGACGAGGACACTGCCTCTGTGGGCTCCGAGTCGCCCCCGCCCTCTGCCACCACCGTGCGCACCTACAGCATCAGCACCAGTGAGTGGGCAGGCTGGGGGCAAGTAACAGGGGTTACTTTCAGAAATGCTCACTACAGTTAATAGCTGGAATAGTGCCTTTGTAACCAAGTGATGAGGTGTGGGGCACCAGGGTCAGGAATGGCGCCAGGAATAAACCCTCGCTACCAGCCAGCTGTACGCCTGACTTGTACATATCTATGGTAACCCTCCCGTGTTTTTTTCTCATTTTTTAGGTAAGACCCGTAGACCCAAAGTAATGAGGCTTTTTTGAAAAAAAGGTCTGTAGTTGTATGTTTACCAATGTCAATGTTTCGGTTTAAAGTTTTACTGGTTTGTATTTGTTTTAAGGGTATCAAGAGTGTATATCTGGGGCTGCTGCAGATGGTCAGAGACGAAATACAGAACTTCGTTAGCTAATTGTGTTAAGTTGTGAAAAGTGACTGTGTGTGTTGTGAGTTGAGGGTATTGTACTAGTAATATCAGAAAAGATTATGTTTTCTCGTTTTTAACGGCTTTATGTTATTGTACATGTTTTAAACAAGGGAAAATGACATGCAAGAGAGTTTGAGTGAGACCCTCACTACCAGCCTGCTGTACGCCTGACTTGTACATATCTCTGGTTACTCATGGAAATATATATATAGTGTAACGTGGCATGATCATTCTGGTTAAAACATGATAGCAAGTACAGTAACATGGTAAGGCTAATGAAAATTCAAATTGTTGGGATTTGAGGGTTTGTATCATAACTGGATACAAAACACCCAAGAATGCTTATAACCCTTGTTATAAGGGGGTGCTAGCTGTTCTTTAGGAACTGAGTAGGCTCTGTACAAAGTGGCATTTTGGACAGTTGAGAACAATTTTGGCATTTTGGACAATTCAGCTATCAAGTCTTACAGGTGTGCTGGGATGGAATCTGTGCTTTGAGCTGGTCGCTGCCCTGAATGTTGGGTCAAGCTGTTGCAGGTTTACTGCTGGATTAGTGTGGTTTATTGGCAATATTAAAATCTGTCTGTTTTGATGTTATTTGCTAATTTTTGTTGTTTAAAATCAGGAAAAGGACATTAGTTTCTTCTTGCACTAAAAACAACACCTTTTTTTATTGGACACTATGCCCAGTATTGAATCCATTTTGGAAGGCAGAGCAGTCTTCATGAAGATGTAACTGATGGGAAAAGACATTTACTTCCTTTTATCCCTTCATTAGCTTTAGGGCATATTACTAAAATGATTCATTCTGTACTGTAATGAGATCAAACGCAAGATGAATCACAGAGCTGTAATCCAAATCTGTGGGAATGGACTCTAATGGGTGTCACGCCAAAGTCACAAAAGGGCGTTTGATCTTATGCAAAGGAAATGGAAACACACAATTGCAATATTGGAGTAATAACAATGGGTTTGAGACTCTGGGATGCGAACAGACAGAAGCAATTGTTTTCACTCAGAAAAAAAAAGATGTACAGACTTTTTTGTAGAGTTAGATGAAGCGACAAGTGTTGGATGACCTGACAATTGAATATAACTCATCATCTTCTTTCTGAGAAAAATCCAGTTGAGTGACTGTTATGACTGTTATGGCCAGCAGCCATATCACTCTGCAACTCAGAACTGGCAGCTCACTGAAGCTCAGCAGGTGTGAGCCTGGTCAGTACCTGGATGGCACACCTCCTGGGAAAAACTAAGGTTGCTGCTGGAAGAAGTGTTAGTGGGGCCAGCAGGGGGCGCTCACTCTTCGGCCAATATGAGTCCTAATGCCCCAGTATAGTGCTAGGGACACTATACTGTAAACAAGCGCCGTCCTTCGGATGAGACGTAAAACCGAGGTCCTGACTCACTGCGGTCATTAAAAATCCCAGGGCGCTTCTCGAAAAGAGTAGGGGTGTGACCCCGGCGTCCTGGCCAAATTTCCCATTGGCCCTTACCAATCATGGCCTTCTAATAATCCCCATCTATGAATTGGCTTCATTACTATGGTCTCCTCCCCACTGATTGCTGATGTGTGGTGAGTGTTCTGGCGCACTATGGCTGCCGTCGCATCATCCAGGTGGGGCTGCACATTGGTTGTGGTGGAGGGGAGTCCCCATTACCTGTAAAGCGCTTTGAGTGGAGTGTCCAGAAAAGCGCTATATAAGTGTAAGTAATTATTATTATTATTATTATTATTATTATTATTATTATTATTATTATTATTACTATTACTATTATTATTATTTTGAAGAGCCCCAGTCAAGCTGGGAGGGCCTTAAAGCATAAACACGTGCCCTGTATTCTCATTTTATTACTATAAACCGGAAGGCAAAGATGGTTAACAGAGCCTGATAAGCCAGTCAGAAGGCTCTCAGAATGCATTCTATTCCCACAAAAGCCTCTGCAATGCCCCCAAGAGAGAATTTCTAACCTCACTGGAGGAGAGGGGTCTCCTACCTGTGGTCTCCATGAGGGAGCTGCTGCAGGGTTGAGCAGCTGGCTGATATTTCCAGGCTCTGCAGCTTCTGCTCTGCCTAAAGCGCTCTGACAGGCTCCCACTCACACAGAGACTGACCCACATTCTACAGCAGAGGCAGCTAAGCGGGAGATGGGACGCGCACACACACCTCTGGGTCATTAAACTCCGCTTGGCAGGGAAGGCTCCACAGCAGGCCAGGCCACCCCTAGCTAATTAATATTTAAAGCTGGGATCACGTATTGCACTTGGACCGTCAGAGCTGTGCTTTAAAACAACCAGTCCACTCCGTGACAGAGCTGTCTCGCTCTTCAGGTGCGCAACCTGTTGCCAGCTGGGGAAAACCCCAGGAGAGCTGACGTTAGGCAATCTAAAAAAAAAAAGTGCTGAATCTCTTTCATGTCCGAAAGAGATCCTGGGAGTATTGCGAGCATTTTTTTGTGTGTTTCTTCAAAACACAAACAGATTGATCTTCCCAGTTGTCAACCTATGGGCAAGCTGCCCACTAAATTAATTAACTAGGGGGCGGGCAACTTGCCCGAAGAGTACAGCAGACCGAAGTCTTACTCAGAGCTTTCAGGAATGAAAGCTGAACTTTGGTGGGCTAAAACAGAAGAACTGGAGTAGAAGATTTAGAAACGTATGTGCAACAATGGCAGATATTTCTACGACCCCGTGTTTCATATTGGTTTCTGCTGAGCACAAACGATATGACAGGAAATTAGAAAGAAAAAACACAATGTGCCATACCTCAACACCGTACCTCAACATACCCGTGAGCTCATCATCCAAAAGGTTGTGTTGTTTCTTTCTACTTTTCAGTGCAGAATTCATCTCTACCTATTTCTTTGCAGCCTACACACACAGACATAACTCCCTGCTCCAAAACTTTGGCATTTGTCTTTGCTTCAAGTGTCCAACTGTGAACAGAACACACACAGCTCTGTCACAAATAAGGAGAAATGCTGTTGTCCTTTAGGGAGACTGTTTTAGGGCAGCCGGTTGGAGCAGTGTTTAGTGGAGAGCACAGGAGATTCATGTTCGATCCTACTGGAACGTAGGTCTCATTAGGTCTCTTCTAATTTCAAGTACTTGTACTTAAAGGGGAACTGCAACTCTGTTTTTTTATATTTTTTCCCAAACCCTGCGGTCGAGACAATGTTTATAGATGATTTGTAAAGAATGTAATTCCATTGTCATCGAAAAATGTTAAAACTGAGAGATTATGATCTAATTTAGATATGGCTATAGGCCTTTTGTGTCATAAATAGAACAATTAAAGGGAGAAACGTTTTGTGGTCAGATTTCACCAAGTGGAGTGAAGAAGGCTTTGAGATTCCTCATTTGTCTGGACAACTATTTGAGGTGGTGGGGTGAAGACCTGCTTTGTGCACAACTCCAGCTCAGGGTTGTTCAAATTGAAGCTTTTCTTACCAGAAAGAGTGTATCTGGAAAGGCGAGAAATGAAGTTTCATATGGACTCCAGTGTAGAGACTGACAGAATCTGCAGCTGTCCTGTGTAATAGTGTAATCTTTAATAGATGGACACTTTCTTATTGTTTCCAAATAAATGCGCACAGAGCTTCATCAAGTAGACAGGTGGTACTGGAATTATTTAAGTTTTCAGAGGATAAATAAACACATTTCACTTCAAATGCCACACTTTCGTCTCCTGGCAGGTTTGCAGGTTATTTTAGGAAACTGGATCACAAACATCAGCTCTCTCTGCCATCTTTCCCAGAATAAACAAGCCCCAAGCAAAGCTCTGCTTATTGATGATGGCTTTTGTACAATAAAGAGAGACTGAGAACTCACTGAGAACTGTTAAACCTGACCTTATGACCTTGTCACCCCTGTAAAACAAAGCTGAAGGACCTTTCTCATTAATGATGACATGCTAACCTAAACAGAAACAAACAGTAACAACCAACTGTATTGATTCTGTGATATTAAAATGACCTTACAGTACTGTGGAGGTGCAAACGTCAAAACAAAAGGGGAACATTGTTTTTGAAAGTGAGTGCCAAATTCTCAGCCCGGTTATTAATTTGTGGTAAAAAATAATCATTCAGATTATGGACAAAATGGCAGATTTCAAATGAAGCACAAAATTGTGAACTTTGTGCAAGCATTGGATAGTCACCATGTTGTCGTAAAACCCTGGTCTCACCACGGGCGAGAGCGAGAGTTTGCGTGGCCTGAGACGTGAAGCGTCTACTTCCTACTCACTAGTCACTGTGATGACTACTGTAACGTGATGTACTGGCGAGTAAGTACAGATTGTGCAGCAGACATTTCCCCTCAGAAATGTTCCAATGTGATCTGCATGCAGAGTTAACAAGCAAGTAGTGTATGTCAGCAAAACCGTCTGGAAGCTGAGAGCAATATTTCCATTGGATTAAAAGAGATGTTTACTGCTTGTTTACAGTGTAGTAGGGCCACTTCACCTCACAGGAAGTTTTGTTGCCTTGTTCTGAATTGCAGAATATGACACTGAGCATACCTGGAAATGTTGACTATTTGTCTGGAGGTTTTACAACTAACTGTGTACATTTTACTTTTATTGTGGT